TTTTCCAACCAAAATCCATTCCTTTCTATAATGTATTTCAAGAAGAGATTTTCAAAATTTCAACACAATTTAACATTATAACCATCTCCACAACATTCCCCATGAATCAATCTGAAAATCTCTCTTTTATATTTCCAAGAACCACCCAAGTCAAAACCCTAGATTCAAATTATAACCCCAAATCACTAGGCCCTTTAAAGGAACAAATAGCCAAGTTAAGAATCATAAAACAGGTTGAAAAAATCTCTACCTTAAACTTAGAAGAAGAGGGAAGCAATAGTTGAAGTTTGATGGAGCTGAAAATAAAATCTTCTTAGATTAAAACAAACCTCTCTACGATCTCTATGTTTTTCTCCAAAGCACTATGGTGGTGGAATCAATGGACTAGGGTGTATGGGAGGGTTTTATCCAGAACTAGAGAGAGAAAGTGAAGAAATTAGGTTTTGAAGGGTTTTAGAGAGAGAAGGAAATGAAAAAGTGACTAAAAAATGCTTTTTTTTTATCTGACATACACACAGACCACTCGAGTGACTAATCCATTGCTTGAGCGTAAGATATAAAAACGGAAGACCGCTCGAGCGAAGATCACCCTACTCTAAGAAGTTTTGTAGGCCTGTAAAATTACTAGAAGATCTCAAAGACCGCTTGAGCGACCATAGCATTGCTCAAGCGAACAAGAAATGAAATGGACAACAACTCTTTTGAAAAATTAACTCCCAACTTGTTTCAAACACAACCAATAACTCCAAACAACCAAACTCAACTAACTACAAGATGAAAAGGGTATAAACAACAATTAAAAATATGAGATTTCGGATCTAAGAACATGAAAAGGATTAGGTCTAAATCGGAACCATTATATAAATTGTTGGTTATTTTAATAAATTATAATTATGATAAAATCAATGTATATTAATTTTATATAGTGCATTATGATTTTTCATAATTAATAAATGTGCATTATATAAATTGTTGATACCATGTTATAATATTTAAGAGAGTGAGAGAATATTATATTATGTATATATTTAATATTGTGTTAAATAATTATGTAACAATGTATACAAGACTCCTTTATATAGGAGGAGAGAAACTTAAGTATACTAATCCTAAGTATGGTAATAAATATAATATATGCCTCGTTTGGGAACAGATTATTTTAGTAATTTTTTAATTTTTTAGCTAAAATATGAGGCCAAAAAAATTAGTATGTGTGAAATGATTTTTTGGTTTTTTTACAAAAAGATGTACAAAATTAGAAAGAAAATAGAAATTTTGACTTTTTGGTATAGGTTGTTGGTTTTTTAATTTTTTTTAGTGACTTTTTGACTTTTAAGCTAAAATATTAAGTTGTCAAACGAGGCAATAATATGTATGATAGACAAAATATATAATTATTACATATAAGGCCTAGTTTGGGGTGTTTCAAAAAAGTCAAAAAGTTAAAAAGTTACAAAAAAAAAAGTAAAAAAGTTATCACTATTCACAAATTAAAAATATTAAAAAATTAATGCACATAATATTTTAATCAAACAAACTTTACACAATTTTCGGGGACTGAATTTACCCTTTAGTACCGTGAGAGGGAAAGAAAAAGAATTACATATATAAAATCACTAAATTGGACGAAAATGTTGGACCCGTGGAGACCTACCACGAGTTCCGTTTTGATAATCCGAACCGTTGAACATGTAGAAATCGTCTAGAACTATATGGTTATAAAAAATCATATTGATCGAAAATCGCTAACTACATGATCAAATCAGTTTTGTATAAAAAATGTATGATGCTATAGTTAACAGTTGACAAGAAAAACTAACACGATCAGATAGCTATCGATATCCAATCAATGTGATTTTTTACAAGCATATATTACTCGACGAGTTCTACACATAAACGGTTCCGATTAACAAAACGGAACCTGTGGTGGGCCTCCATGGGTTGAACAATACCGTTCAATTCAAGCCCAAAAAGGAGACAATCATTTCCATCTCATAACCAACCCACCACCCTGCCCAACATGTACGGCCGAATCCACTAACTTCTCCTACACATTTATTTATACAATTTTTTAATACACATTTTTTTTATAAAAAGTCAAAAAGTTAACCCAAACATCCATCTTTTTTTCCTCAACTTTTTATTCTAAAAAGACAAAAAGTGCACTTATTAAAAAAGTAGAGAAAAAAATATGTATGCTTGGGATAACTTTTTGACTTTTGACGAAAAGACGTGTAATACTCTTTTGACTTTTTGACTTTTAACTTTTTGACTTTTTGGATAGTTGAATTCAAAGGGCAAAATAATAATTTTGTTCTAGTGGCTTTCCCACAAGCTACTTTGAATAATATAGGCTCTGTTTGGTAGAGTTTTGGAACGTTAATTCCAGGTTTTGATTTGCATATGGTGTTTGTTTTCAGTTTTTAAAAATTAATTTCACATTCACTTTTGAAAACTCTGTTCAAGGTGGGAAAATTTGGACTAACCGGTTGTCCTACCGGTTGACCGGAACAGTGTATTTTTTTATTATTATTATTTTTTTACAATTGACACATGTTAATTTTTATATATTCAATAAAAAAATATTTTCTGAATTTTTAATTTTTTTTATGAGTTTTGAATAGAATTTTAAATTGTGTGTTTGGTTATGAATTGTAAATTTTTGTATCCAACATCATATGTCACATTAAAAATTCTCCACTCAATTCAAAATTATTTTCAAAACTCTCTTCAAAACTCATTCACCAAACAAATTTTTCATACTTAAATTATAATTCTAAAACTCGTAAACTTAAAATACAATTCTATTATTAAATCATATTTATAAAACTCTACTAAACGCAACTTTAGACTTTTCAACTTTTTTAAAATTTTTTGAGCTTTTTAACTTTTTTTTTATTTATTCTAAACAAAACCTTAACAGATGTCATTGAAGCTATGGCTGCCCTTAAAGCGGTTGTGTTTGCGATGGGTTTGGGGCTTCAGGATATCCAATTGGAAGGTTACTCGTTGACAATCGTTAATGTTGTCCAAGGACCATAATTTATTCTTTCTACATTTGAGTATTTCTACATTTGAGTATGATAAAGTGTAGGATTAATTTTTTAATTTTTTTTTTTGACTTTTTTCAAAAAAACGTGAAAAAAAAGTAAAGAGGCCTTATAATGGTTTTAACCCTTCACCCATAAGAAAAAAAAAAGAGTATTTTTATTTTTATTGGTTTTGTTTTTGTTTCAGATCTTATACTCAATGATAATGTGGAGCGAATAATAGGATTCAAATCTCATTGACTATAAAAAAGTTGTTTTTGAGTATGAAGAAGCTTTAATTCATGAATATTTTGTATAATAAAGTTGCAACAAATTATTAAAATTTAAAATTAATCATCGATAATTGTTATGGTAATTTAAAATAAATTATTTTTAAATCTAAATAAAAATATATTGATGTGACTTTTTTTATCCAAAATCAAATAAGATTTTTTTTTTATTTAGTACATTTAAATGAGATAATTTAAATCAGTATAATGTTTACGTATTTCTATCAAAATTTTAAAAATCCCTAAACTATACCCATCATAAGCTGTTTGAGTCAATAGAATGATATCGAATTATTATAATTCTAATTCAACTAACTTTAAGTTTGATTTTATTGTCATAATTTAATTGAACGATAATTTACAAACATTTTACCGTGTGAGTCCAAAAAAAAAAAAAAATAAGCTCTGCTTGGTAGAGCTTTGGAACTTTAGTTCCAGTCATTGGTGCTCACATGGTGCTTGTTTGCAGCTTTCAAAAATTAATTTCACGCTCACTTTTGAAAACTCGATCGAAGGCGGGAAAATTTGGACTAATCGATCGTTCCACTGGTTGATCGGAATAGTATATATATATATTTTTTGCAATTGACACGTGTTAATTTTTATATATTCAACAAAAAATATCTTCCAATTAAATTTTTTTTTATGAGCTTTAATAGAATTTTGAGTTGTATGTTTGGTTATGAGTTGTAAATTTTTATATCAAATATCATATGTCACATCAAAAATTCCTCATTCAATTCAAAACTCTTTTCAAAACTCATTTACTAATGTTGTGTTTGGTTGGGGGGTTTGGAAAGGGATTTGGAAAGGAAAAGGAAAAATGTGTATAAAATTAGGTGAAATATAGGCGTATTTTATTCACATTTCACTTATTTTTTCCATTTCCCTTCTCCAATCCCCTAACCAAACACTGCATAAACAAATTTTACACACTCAAATCATAAATTTTGCTGGTGGTCAAAGCTTGAGATTTGAAAGTGTGCTCCCTCGAAATTCTCAAGTTCAAACATTTCAAATGTAAATCAGTGTGTTTGGTTTGAATTTTCTGGATTAAGTTTTTTAAAAATTGAGTTTTTTGGTTTTCGTATTCTTTTGTTTTTAGTGAATGTTTTTTAAATTTTAAACGTTTTTTTTTTTTACTTTTTTAGATGCACCCTAGTTAGATATATCTAAAAAGTAAAAAATTTGTAAAAAAATATTTTAAAAAATTAATAAATACATAAAAATATAAAAAATGTACTGAATTCTTGTATTTTTTTTTATATTTTGGTATTTAATGAATTTTTAAAAGATTTTTTTTACAATATTTTTTCTTTTTAGGTGTATTTATGTTAGGTGCGTCTAAAAAGTAAAAAAATTGATGAAAATATTAAAAAAATTTAATAAAAATAAAAAAATATAAAAAATAAGAAAATAGAATTTTTTGAAAAGTATTTTCTGAAAAATGAAAACAATCATAATTTCTTATGGTTAGTGTTAGTCTATACAAGTGGACGGCAAAATTGATTTTCCGAATTAGTCAGCCTAATGAATTAGATATGGAATTTAAAAAAAATAAATTTCCAAAATTTGAAAGTCCAAGCCCAATACAATACCTTAAAGTGGGCCAATTCCAAATCAAAATCTAGTAATTAAAAATCAATAGACGATTCGTTAAGAGAGCACACATGTCTTTTTTGGGCCCATCACTCTCGACAAAACCCTAGCTTTCCTTCCCTTCTTATCTCTCTCTCACGCCCTCTTTCTCACTCACAAGTTGCTTCTGCTTTCGGAAGAACGCTCGTATTCTGAGGTCATCTCTCTCTCTCTAACATACTTCTCATTTCAGCGTCTTTTGCTGCAAATTTCTCTCCATGTGTTCTGTAACTTTTTTGTGTGTTTTGTTTGCTGTTTTTGTTGTTGTTCAGATCTGATATCAAAAGCGAACGTTTTTCCGTTAAGCAATGGCGCTGGTAAGTCATATATGTTCTTCTTATTCATATACAGTTATAAAAAGCATGATCGGATGTTGGGTGTGAAAATATAGTCTTTTGTGTGTGTAATTTTGGTGCTAGTTCGTGATTGGGATTTGAACTAAATTAAAATAACCAAACGGGATTTAAGAATCGCACGAAATTCTGATATTTATCTTTTGTATTTTTATTTTTTATGTGAATTACCTTACCTTTGTTCTGTTTGGTTATTGATTAATGGTCTATTTTGGCTAGAACAAATTGGAATCTTATTACAGTTTTGCCAACCCCAACCTGTTAAATTTTTATGGGCTTTCTTCTCTTAATCCAGCTTCTTTATTTATTTATCCCAATTTCTAAATATGAACAGTGTTAGCTTTATGGTGTTGATACTATTATCTATCAATCTATCTATACTTTTATATATAGGTGAAGGCTAGATCCATACTATTACATATGTGAATGCTAGAGTTGGTGTAAACGTTTCATTTTTTGAATTTTTTGAAGTAGTTTCATGGGCAGTTGGTCTTTTTTTGAATTTTTTGAAGTAGTTTCGTGGGCAGTTGGTCCCTTAATGTGTTTTTGTTTTTTTCTTTTCAAATCTCTCAACTTTTGATTTTCCAAATTCATTTCAATTTTCAGATTTTAAATTCAATCATATTACAATCTTATTTTTCTAAAACAAAATGATCATATGTGTATGCAACGGGTGTGCCATTATTTCAGTTTTTGTATGTGTAAAGAGTTTTAGGCCATACTTAGATAAATGTAGTACAACTACAATTTCTAATCCAAAATGCTAGAGACCCCAACAGATTTAGTAAAATTTTTAGTAAATGTCTCACATGGTGCCATGTGAGTCCTATGCTGGTCCCACGCCCCCGTGACATTTGGTAGAAATTTTAATAAATTTTTTGGGGTCTCTAGCATCACTCATTTCTAATACAACATCTTGTTCTGTAGCGGAATTGGTCGGTACGTACCATTGTGTTGTGATGATGACGATGACCTGTGGCTTCAAACTTTGATGTCTTCAAAGCTCATACTGTCTTTTCATATCTTGAGCGTGATAAAATGCTTTGGTTTTTTAATTGATAGTTGTCAGTAGTTTTTAATGCTTAATTTATTTATTTAATACTTTTTACCTATCATTCTAGCATGCTTTGATATATTTATTAATGCAATAACTTAACAATATTTGATATGTCAAATTTTACAATTAATGCAAATATTTTAAATAAATATGTAATATTTGGAGTAATAAATTTGAAACCTTGTTCAGAAGATCACACTGATACTGTTACATAGCATGCCAAGGATAAAAATGGTATGATAACTGGTATGGGATTTAGAACTTTGGTTGAAAGTGTATTGCTATGGGTTTATGATTGTCTTTAATGTGTTTTTTGGTTAAATGTGATTATGCGGGTTGGATTTCAAGGTCTATGCCACAGTCATCAACATATTGCAACTTGTTGCTTTTAAATTTGTTTAATGCTGCAGTGTCGAACAGAAAACTTCAATATTCTACTTTAATGTAGATCATAAATTGTTCTTTTGGGATATAGCTAAGAGTTTTCATCATTTTATTATATAAAGATCTGATTTATGTTTTTATTTCTTCAATTGTGTATATTGCAATGTGGGCAGATCTTTGTTATTTTAGTTACAACAGTAGAAGTTTTTGGAGGAACGTGGACCCTTAAGATAGTTGTATAAAAAGCTGATCAAGTTTAGCAGAGTGGATTATGTAGAAGTCCCATCTTGCTTGGTTTGGACATGGATAGAGTTTTAGTGATTTTAAAGCTTGATTTGAGGTTTAGAATCTTTTTCAATCTTTGTTCAGTTCATAAGTTGGATCATAATAATTATAAAGCTTGCCCATGGGTCTTCTTGTATTTTGAGCAATTGCATTTTGTGGATTTTAACCTGTCTTGTTTACATTTTAGCACATATTCTTTTGAGCTTTATTCTAGGTTTCCTGGTTCTAAACTTGAAGTTTATGTTTGAAGCTAAAATGTGAATATGTCAACAAACACAATTCAATGACTAATTTTCTGTATACTATTCAACTGTCTTTAATGGGAAGGAAGAGTTGTTGTCATTTGAAGATTTGGAGATCAAATTCTCGTTTGTTATACCAATTAGTGCATTCTCATTCACAATGGAACCATCAAAATTGTGATGGGAAAAAATTATTTTCGGTGCATTGAAGGATTTCATGTTGAGTAGTTAGACTCCCATCCATCAGTATAATCATTTGAGTGACAATTGGTTCCTCCTTTATTTTTTTTAATAAATAAAATGTATTTGATTTTCTGGTCTATTTTGTAGGTCTTGCATGCAGGGAAAACAAACAAAAATGCTTACAAGGCAGTTATTGCTGCTGAGTACAGTGGTGTCAAAGTTGAATTGACTCCGAATTTTGAGATGGGGGTGTCAAATAAAACCCCAGAGTTCATTAAGATGAACCCTATTGGAAAGGTAAAAAGTTGCGAGTGGATTGCGAGCGGAGAAAAATGGTTCATGTAGCCGATCCAATTTGATGGGATTTAGGGCTTGGTTTGGTTTAAATGTTCAGTTTATTTATTTCATTTAACAGTTGTTTTATTGATGTATAGGTTCCTGTACTGGAAACTCCTGATGGTCCCATTTTTGAAAGCAATGCCATATCACGTTATGGTTAGACTACATTCTTGTTTTTATTTATTTATATGTAAAATAAATCCTCCGGTGGTTATAGTTGGACTAACTATTTTGTCTTGGTTCCTGCAGTTACTCGCTTGAAGTCTGACAATCCTCTTTATGGATCTTCATTAATAGAATATGTAGGTTATGTTGCTCTCCTTGGTTTCATATTTTTTCTTGTCAAAAATGTTCTCTGTTTCTATTCAAAGGATTTTCATTTGTTAATCTCATGTCAGTAGTCTCAATTTTTTTTTTTCTTTTTTTGGGTTCACCCCCATTTGCATGAAAGATGAAATTTACCATGTTCTTAGCACTTAAGATCGTAATTAATTTGTCCTTTTCTAGGCCCTTATTGAGCAGTGGATTGACTTTGCATCGATGGAGATTGATGCAAATATTTCAAAATGGTTGTATCCAAGAATGGGATTTTTTGTTCACCTTCCTCCGGTGAGTTAATTTTGTCTTCTTTTCTTGTTGATAGCATTTTCTTCATTTGCTGGTGTGCTATTTTGACACTGCATGAAAACAAAATGTCTCAGCATGATTGTGTGTTTTATATAGAGTTAGAAATGTAACCATGTACTTCTATGGGATTTGGTAGCCTTTTATTGGGTCATTTTACTTGCATTGGATCACATCTAACACACTTCGTTTGGAATTGGACTTTGGAGTGAGAAGAAATTAATCAGATAAATAATGAATAGAAATGAATAACTTGTCTTTATCTGATTTTATTGGAAGGTGAAAGAAAGTAGGCACTGTGTACTGTCAGTTTTTTCTACACCTTTTATTTTAATAAATAAGTGGTGGCAGAATTTTAAGTATTAAATTCTATGAAGCATGGTTACTTCAAGAAACATGTACCGGGTATTATTGATACTTTGCATAGTACTTTTGCATGTGTATTGGGTAAACAAAACATATACTTAAATTTTTTCTTCTTAATTTTTGCAATACCCTAGACATATCAAGTAGATATCCAAACCGTACCTTAACGAAGATAATATGTAGGGTGAAGTTAGTTTTATTGGACTTTTTTTTAATGTTTAGCTTAGCATGGATTTAAAATTAAGTTTTGATTTGTAAGTATTTAATATGATGACATTTAATTTTGGTTTATACTTTGGGCATTAATGTGAATTGTAAATTGGATCTTAGGCCTCGTTTGGGAATATGCTTTTTTTAGTCACTTTTAGCTTTTTGGCTAAAATATAATGTAAAAAAAAATTGTATGTTTAGGAAGAATTTTTTGACTTTTTACGAAAAGATAAATAAAGTAAAAAAGAGTAAAATCAACATTTTTGCCCTTCAATATTGTTGTTCATCCGTCATTGTGACTTCACCTGATAGAAGTGATGCAGCAGAAATTATTGTAGTATGTCAGCTATATAGGCTTAGGTGATATGGGGAAATGGACACATATTGCTACCTTGACCCATTTTTTTATGTAAAAAAAAAAAAATAATAATCTACAAATTGGACTTCACCAATTTTGTTATTTGGAAAAAAGTCGTTAAATAAATAAATAAATAAAAATATTGCAATTTGATTGAAGAAAATGTTTTGTTATAAATTGTGGGATGTAATAATTGTATTAAATTTTTTTTTTTCAAAAAGTCTTTTCAAAACTCACTACAAAACAATTTTCACAACTTCGTTGATAATTGTACATCTGTCCAAAATCTTCATTAAAAACTTGTTAAAATCCACCTACTCTCCACCTACTTCACCCACTTAAACCTACTCCACTAAACCTAACCCATTACACCACTACCACTTCCACTTCACCTACTCCTTACCTACTACACACTCACCCTCTTCTATATATAGGAATCATGAATCATTATAATAGACATCAATAAACATCAATCAATAATACATAAAATTTTACATGGTATCAGAGCAAGGTTAAGACCTTAGTATTTCTCGCTTCAAAAATTGAGCGCACCTTTTGAGGATGCGATTTTTTATGGGTCCGACAAGACTATGTAAACTGTCCCGACATTGATTCCGGTTAGCTCCTTCATGGGTCCGACAAGACTATGTAAACTGTCCCGACAAGACTATGTAAACTATGTAAACGTGAAAAGAATCGTGGGAAAATAAAATGGCAACAATAAAAAAAAATGTTAATCAATACGGTACATTTTCTGTGTTGTGTAATTATTGTTACAAATTTTGTAAAAACATGTACAAAAACAGGTCTTTCCAAAAAAGTACATAAAAATTGTTAATTGTAAATGTATTCCCTCAAAACCAAAAAAAAAATATCGGAAACCAAAAACAAACAATACAATTGTAGGCTTTTTGTACTTGAAGGAAATGAAAAACAAAAATACCATTGTAGGCTTTTTGTACCGGAACACAGTGACTAATTTTGTACTTGAACATAGGTTTTGACATTGCTGGGTCTGGACAAAAATTAAAAAAAAAAACCAAAAGGAGGGGTAAAAAGGTCATTTGACCTCTGCTAAGGCCACAAAATCACATGATTGCGACATAGGGTAGGTGTGTAGGATAAAATTATAGGCTTTTTGGCTTTTTTAGTAATTTTTTGACTTTTAGGCTAAAATAAGTGCTTGCCAAACGAGGCCTTAACCAACTAAACCATTTAAATAATTTTTGCATTACTCCAAATTCAAAATAAATATTTTTTATGAATGCACCCAACCCTACCCACATCCATTTCCTACTTTTTTTAGATTTTACTGTTTGACGTACTTGTATCATACCGGTACCAATACTCACACATGTACTCGTGCTTCATAGATGAAATCCTGTTCCACTTTTAGGATTCTCATTTTCACTAAAATCTCTTTACTTTTGCAGCAAATTAAAACTTACTGTGATAAGTAAATAAGATTAGATTAAAGGAGGTACACCCATGGACATAAACATGACAAATGAAAAACCTCTACATCATCAAAATCTGTGTTGCAAGCTGGAAGGCCCACTCAAGACTCTAAATTAAGTGCCATAGGCATCTGTTATGATGACATCATACCCATCCTTGTCACTTTCCACTGCTGCACCTTTATCTCTACCATTGTAATTGATGGTGCTAACCGAATTCTTTACTTGTCAATTTTTGTTCTGTTTCCTTCAGTCCTATTAAAGTTATCCATCCTTGGCTTCTTTTTTGCTTGAGTTGCTGCTATAGTATCCTGTCCCCCATATCTTATGCAATTTGCTTCTCTTACAGAAAAATAAGAATAACATTTTTAATTTTTTTTGGGGTCTTATTTAGAAGTTTGATTTTTATTTTTACTATTAACCTTTTTATTTTTTTGTTAATTTTAATTTTTTCTAATTATTTTATCTTTACTCCATATGTATTTTGTTTGAAGGCGGAGGAAGCTGCTATTGCTGCATTGAAGAGAGCTCTTTGTGCTTTGAGCATTCATCTGGCTTCAAATACTTACCTGGTTGGTCATGCTGTGACCCTGGCTGACATTATCATGACATGTAACTTGTATCCGGGATTCACTAATGTCATGACTAAGAGCTTTACTGCTGAGTTCCCTCATGTTGAGAGATACTATTGGACCATGGTTAACCAACCAAATTTCAAAAAGGTAATGGGTGAGGTAAAACAGGCAGAGAAGATCATACCTGTTGTGTCTGCGAAGAAGCCTACTCAACCTAAAGAAGCTGCTAAATCAAAGCCCAAGGAGGAGCCAAAGAAAGAAGCCAAGAAAGAACCAGCAAAGCCCAAAGCAGAAGATGTTGAGGAAGAGGAGGCACCAAAGCCCAAAGCAAAGAATCCTCTTGATCTACTGCCCCCAAGTAAGATGATACTGGATGATTGGAAGAGGCTGTACTCCAATACCAAGACCAACTTCCGCGAAGTTGCGATCAAAGGTATAAATTCAATTTTGCTGTACCTTTTTTTTTAATACAATTTTCTAGACTGATATTTTAACTTTTTTTAGGGGGATAATTTACAGAGTGCATTTTTGTTACATAGGACATCAAATCATTTTGTTCTTTTCTATCTTAACTTGTGGAATACATCTAATTCTATGCACAAGTTGACATTTTTCACTATTTCACCAAATGATTTTATGCCTTCGATATATTATATATACTGCTATGATGTACTGCTGTCTGGCTGCTTAGGAAATCCATTTGACAATTTTTTTCTAGAATGGCAGAATCAACAAGACTTCTAACTTCTGTTTTTCATCTAATTTGCGTTCATCTTTAAGTTTGGACAAAAAAGTTTCTATTCTAAATGGCTTCTTGTAGAGTAGAGGGTAACGAAAACTCATTTTGAAATATACAATCAAGATGAAATTTTAGTTGACTAGGCATGTGTTTTTATTCTTTTGTTTGACAATCTTGTTGCTGTAAATGTGGCAGGCACATATTTTAATATCCACACATCTAATGAAGTTATATTCTTTGCAGGTTTCTGGGATATGTATGATCCTGAGGGATACTCTCTTTGGTTCTGTGATTACAAGTACAATGATGAGAACATGGTCTCATTTGTCACTATGAACAAGGTTGGTGGATTTCTTCAACGGATGGATCTGGCACGCAAGTATGCCTTTGGGAAGATGTTGGTGATTGGGTCTGAGCCCCCATTCAAGGTGAAGGGGCTGTGGCTTTTCCGTGGGCAGGAAATGCCTCAATTTATAATGGAAGAGTGCTATGACATGGAGCTCTATGATTGGAGGAAGGTCGACTTAACTGATGAAGCCCAGAAAGAGAGGGTCAACCAGATGATAGAAGATCAGGAGCCCTTTGAGGGAGAGGCTCTTTTGGATGCCAAGTGCTTCAAGTGAAGATATGAAGAAAGCCCTCACAGTTACATCACGTTAGTTTTTTGTCATGCTGTCTTTGTTTCGGGTTGAGTTTATTTATGTTCTATTTCAAATAGTTGGAAAGCTAGCAAGTTGAGGATTCAAGGATATAATAGGATAATTTATATTTTTGTCCTCTCTTTCGAGTATGTTTTTGACCTACTATAATTTTGTGATTGTCGAGTGACGAGTTAATTAGCATTGTTTTGCGGTATGTTGGATTGGATAGTGAGTGATCCTTATTCTCGGATGACCTAGTTATTTTTGTCATCTCATTGTTTGATGGGTGATGAGGATTCTGATATGTGCCTTTATCTTTGGCATTTTTACCCTGTCAAAAACAGAAATGAAGTTGCAAAATATTTGCAGTGAAAACATGCACCCCCAAAAAAGTATTGTCAAATACAGTGGGATTAGGGGATCAACAATCTCTCACATGAGAGTGGGTTATAAGGCATTGGATTATCTCGAACTTCTTAATGCTTAAATCTTTGATGCTTAGGTCTTTATGTAAAGTGTATATGGATTTATGTAAAGTGCATATGGACTTGCTTGGGTATGAGTTTCTTATTTGTTGTTGGTTTTGCTGAGAAGGGGGTTCTAGAATTTGAACCCAGCTTGTGAGGTGGATATCATAATTCATTCTTAAATGGGTGCTACAGTTGTAGAACAGTTTGGGTTTAATGCACATCCTCCCTCTTTTCTTGTAGACAACTTTTTCTAGAGAGAAAATTCTAAAAAAAAATTTATGTTAAAAGAAATTGTAAATTTTGTTGGTTTGTATAATATTATCGTTTCTTTTAAGAAAAAGTTATCAGTAATAAGTTTTATTTTATTTTATTTTATAAATTGTTCCTAAAATGTTTTATTTTCCGTAACATTATATTTTATTTTTATTTTGCCTTTCTCCTCGAGATATGAACAAATAATTTCATAAATTTTTGAATATCTTGGCTGGGTTGACAATTAATTTCCATAAGATCCATCCAAGCCAATATTAATGTCTTTAATTTGCCCAAGACATTGAGTCCATGTGTTTGATTAGTATGATTATAGCCTAGGATTATAATTGTTAGTTCATAGACAAACAATTCTATATTTGATTGTAAATTTCATTAATCAGATTATATGTTATAACGGACATTCAATTTGATAAAATCGGCGAACTTCTAATATTGAGAGGGCTGGGGATCAAAATTTTAAATATGAAAAAAAAATACATAATAAATAATTATCTCATTAATTTAATTGAAAAACTAATTATACACTATTTCACAAGATTATTAATTCTTTCATTATTAATCCTACTAAAATAAAGCTCTTTTGAAGAGAACATTAAACCCTTCAACTACAACATTGAATGAAAACGATGAAAGTGTTAACCCTTTTTCTATTTTGAACACTATTGTAGGAGAGCCATTCCTTGTTCCAATTCATACAGATTGGCCGAAACCATTTGGTTGATCACATTGGAGAATTTGATTAAAATTCTCACATAATAAAATTTTAATACATTAGGGGTTGTTGGGCATACACTATTTTAGTCTATTTTTTTTTTTTTTTATCTTTTTATCTTTTTTGGGTCACATCAATCAATATCTCCTCTCTACTTTTTTACATATCTTTTTATAAAAAGTCAAAAAATATACTTATTTAGAACATCCCAAACCACTCCTAAAAATAAATATAAAATTTTTCTTTGAAAAATTCAGCATATACCACCATTATTAAAAATATCTTTGGTTGGTAATTTAATATTTTAAACTTTAAATTGTTATAACTTTTGTTGGTGAAAATACCAGAAAAAATTATATATTATTGATAAATAATGCAAAGAAAATGAGATACAAATAGATCTGGCTGAGGCACGGATATCTCATTTTCTTTAAGGAGATCATGCCCATTGCGGTAGGAAGAACCCCAATACCGATGCAGCAGTCACAAAACTATGACTTGTCCCCTCCAGGATACAATAGCCCAACCACTTGTCGTATGGTTCAGGCCAACTTTGCACAAGATGGTGAACCCCAAACTCCACCAAGAAAAACACCATTCTTTGGTAGTAGTCTCTCTTGTATAGAAATAGTTGGTGTGTGTTGGTGTAGAAAAGAGTAGATGAGAGGGATTATTTATAGGCCACTAGGACTTTACAGTTACACCAAAAATAAAGATGATCATTAAACTAGAGAAAATGGAGAAACTCCAAAAATTAACTCACCACTAAGGTCATGAATTCTAATTAATCTCCATTCATGACCAAGATAAGAGGTTATCAAAGTAATGAAACTCCATTTATGTCCATTTATGACCAAGATGAGAGGTAACCAAAGTAATGAAACCCCATTCATGACCAAGATATATAAATAAATAAATAAAAGATAATAAAATGGTCCAACAATCCCCCACTCATTTTAATGTCAACAAGGATAAGAGAGATTACCAAACAAAGGTAGACTAGTATGCATCATGAAGGTGTGCTCTGCATTGAACCTTCATTAGTGAAACAACAACCTCTACTCCAGAGTCAGTAGTGGTCTCAGACTTGAACTATGGCTGCTTAGGGGAAATAAAGAATTACTGCTCACACATAATAATCCAGGTGTTGACACGAGCTTTAATAACTAGCACATTGCGGCCTTGTGCTAATCCCAATTTCATGAGTATATTCGAGAATAAGCTTTGTTCTTATAGAAAGCGGCCCCATTTTCATGCTCACATAGGTGAAATCTGTCAAGGATGTTCCTATAATTTACACACCCCGCTCAACACACCCCACTCAACAAGAGCTACAGAATTTCATTAAGAGTATAAAAACTCAACCCTTAAACATTACAGGACAATGCACTTACATCATAGGGATGGATAACAAAATATTAAAGAGTGCATTTTTTACAACCACCATATGATTCGTTCTTTCCATTGAACCTAGTTACAGGATCTCTGGTCCCAAGGTTGGGTATCCTTATATATGGTTTATGATTTTATAGGCTTCAAACCCATCCCTCTCGATGTATTCCAGACCCTATCTCTCGCCAAGGCCTTGGTTAACGGATTCGCAAGATTATCACAAGATCTTACATAATTCACAGTTATGATGCCATTACTCAAATAGGATCTCACATTACTGTGTTTCTTTCGAATAGGTCTGGATTTACCATTATAAAAATGATTGTTCACTCTACCAATAGCAGCAGTGCTATCACAACGAATTAACACAGAAGGAATTGGTTTTTCCCAAAAAGGAATTTCATGTAACAAATCTCTCATCCAATTCGCTTCCTCACATGCTGAAGCTAACGCTATAAGCTCAACTTCCATTGTAGAATTAGTAATTATCGTCTGTTTTTTAGACTTCCAACATATAGCACCACCACCCAAGGTAAAAATAAAACCCGAGGTAGAGAGAGAATCACCTGACAAAGTGTTCCAATCGGCATTACTATATCCCTCAAGTACCACATGATACTTGTTATAAAACAAACCATAATTTTTGGTTCCAGATAAATATCTCATAATTCTTCCCATGGCTAGCCAATGATCTCGACTTGGCTTGCTAGTAAACCTGCTAAGTACTCCAACAACATATGCAATGTCAGGTCTAGTACAATCAGTAGCATATCTCAAACTACCAATCATGCTATCATATTCCTTTTGATTAATTACTTCCTTTGCATTTGTTACAACAGACAAATGTATGCTTGCATCAAAAGGAGTAACAACATGTTTACAGTCTAGAAAATTATATTTCTTTAACATTTTCTCAACATAATGCGACTGATCAAGAAAAATACCATCATTATTCTTGGTAATTTTAATTCCCAAAATAAAATTGGCTTCACCAAAATCTTTCATATCAAAGTGGCTATTAAGCATATTTTCAGTCTCATTTATAATATGCAAATTAGCGCTAAAGATAAGCAGATCATCCACATATAGGCTAATAATCACATGTGCATTCTCACAAGTTTTATAATATATGCATTTATTACATTCTTTAGTCTTATAGCCATTCTCAAGCATGCAGGAATCAAATTTCTCATGCCACTGTTTAGGAGCTTGTTTTAAACCATAAAGGATTTAGTTAGCTTACACACCCTGCTTTCTTGGCCAAGCTCCACAAAGCCTTCGGGTTGGTCCACGTAAATCTCCTCATCTAGATCTCCATTTAAAAATGCTATTTTTGTATCCATTTGATGAATTTTTAAACCATGAATTGCAGCCACTGCAATCAACAGTCTAATGGATGTAACTCTAGTAACTGGAGAAAAAGTATCTAAGAAATCAAGATCAACTTGTTACTTAAAACCTTTAGCGACAAGCCTCGCTTTATATTTGTCTATAGTTCCATCCAGTTTAAGTTTTTTACGAAGGACCCATTTACACCCAATAGTTTTACAACCTGGAGGTAAATCCACTAGCTTCCATGTTTTATTTGAAAGTAGTGAGTCTATCTCATCATTTACAGCCTCTCTCCAGAAAATAGTATCAGGTGATGATAAAGCTTCTTGCACTGTAAGAGGAATTTCTTCCACATTGTAAAGATAATAGTCAGGGCCAAAATCTTTTTCAACTCTAGCTCGTTTACTTCTTCTTGGTTGGATTTGAAAATTTTCTTTTTCTAGAAAAACTTGAGGAGTAGAAGAGCTAGGCATAGATAAAATATTTTCAGAAATTATTTGACCCCCACTATTTCTAGATTTCAAAGGAAATTTATTTTCATGAAAAATAGCATCACCTGATTCAAAAATAATATTATTTTTCGTATCAAAAAATCTATAAGCTGTACTATGCAACGCATACCCAAGAAAAGAACATGTGGTAGCTCGTTTACCCAATTTAGGTCGTTTAGGATCTGCAAGCCTCACAAAAGCTAAACAACCCCAAACCCTCAAATAACCTAGATTTGGTTTATGCCCCGCCATAACTCATAAGGTACAATTTTAGTCTTTTTGTGTGGCACTCTATTTATCACATGGCAAGTTGTCAAAATAGCCTCGCCCCAAAGATTTGAGGGAGCACCTGAATCAATAAGCATAGCATTCGTCAAGTCAATTAACATTATATTTTTTCTTTCAGCTATGCCATTAGATAAAGGTGAATATGGTGGAGTAGTCTCATGAATAATTCCCAATGACTGAACAAAAGAGTTGAATCCTAGAGATTCATACTCTCGGTCTCTATCACTTCTAATTCTTTTAATCTTTTTACCGAATTGATTTTCCACTTCAAGAAAGAATTCTTTAAATTTCTCAAAAGCATCACTTTTATTTTTTAATAAATATACGTTTGTGTATTTTGAGAAAT